TAATAAAATGGAGTTAACAGATCTAAAATTGAAAATGAATTTTCATTATAAAATCAAAATATGTTTTGCCTTCTGGGTATTTGAAATACGCAAATGAATGTACTCTGTGGTTACCTTCAAAATTGTCGAGGGTATGCAAGTTTTGTCATGCTAACACCATGTTACCTTCATGTACCTCCCACCAAAATGTCAGGTAAACGAGACATCTGTATATTTAGTGTATTTCTTTTTTCTTTAAAAAAATGTTCCCCAACAATGATAGGTTTAACATTACGGATACTGTGGGAAAAAAAAAACCAAAAATGAGAAAAGATCTAGGGCATCTGTTACAAATTTTTAGTTTTCTATTTATTTATTTATTTATTTTTTATTTCTTACTGAAGTAGAGTTGATTCACAATGTTAGATTCTGGTGTACAGCATAGTGATTCACTTATACATATATATGTGTATTCTTGTTCATTTTAAGTTATTACAAGTTAGTGAATATAGTTCCCTGTGCTGTGCAGTAGGACCTTGCTTATCTGTTCTGTATATAGCAGTTTGTATCTGCTAATCCCAAACTCCCAGTTTATTCCACCCTCCTTTCCTCATTGGTAACCATAAGTTTGTTTTCTGTGTCTGTGAGTCCCTGCCTTGTAAATAAGTTCATTTGTGTCAAAAAATTTCTAGTTTTAAATGCAAGCAAGCATAAGACGAAAGATTAAGAAAAACAAAAAAAGCAAGCTACCCTCTCACCCCTGTGCTCAATAATTCACTTCAGTTTGTAGCTGTTAATATTAACTAAATAGAGGAATACATTTTAACAGAGAAACATTGAGTGCCACTAAGCTGGTATAGCACTGTATCAGTCAGTAAAACAGACTGTAATTGTAAGTGTGGTGCTAGCACACATACATACACAAATAGACTAGGAGAGCCAACCAGGAAGCCCAGAAATAGATCCAGGTAAGTATGGAAGCTGATAAAGGTGGCATTTCATCACTGGAGCCTAGTGCGGGGAAACTGATCAGCCATTTGGAAGAAGATAAAGTTAAATCACATCCATTACTCATGCCATACATAAGAAAAAACTCTAAATGAATCAAGGATTTAAATGTTATAAAATGAAACATTGCTAGTAATTTACTCTGAGTCTAAGGAAAGACATTCTAATGCTGACTCAAAATCCAGAGGCGCTAAATGATTGATAAACTTGACTACGTTAAAAAACATTGCATGGCAAAAACACCGAGACAAAGTCAAAAGACAATTAACAGCTTGGAAGAAACTGTTTGTGACGTACATCATAGACAAAGGACCAACTGTCTAATATGTAAACAACTCTTAGAAACTGAAGAACAAAGGACCAGAAAGCCAATTGAAGATTAGGGGAAAACAAAATAAAACAAACATGGACAATTCACACATGCAAAAATGAATAAAATAAAGTCTCTTAAGAAAAGGTGGTTAGTTCAAAACTGATTTTGGCTGTAAGTGAAACAGTCATTGCCAGATATATAGATTCAAATATTATGATCATTGTCCCTGCCCCCAGTTACTAGTGGCAGTTAAACTCTAAGGGGATGATACAGTGATGTCACAAGTTCTCTGGGAGCTCATAGAAAGAGAATGCTTTAGTCTGGGTTGTCAGGGGAGATTTTAGACTCAAGGTGATATTTGAATGAGTAGATGATGTGAAAACATTGAATACAAGGCGAATTAAAACAAGAAGGTGGGCTAGCTTGTGCATAGTGCACTTGTGAAGCAGAAGGCATGCTTAGTTGACCTGTCTCCACGTGGTGATCTATTTTTATAAGATACATAAGAGACTAAAGCTGTAACAAGAATAAAATGTTAAGTATTATAAAACGATCTTAAGTATGTAGCTATTTACTTTTCTATTTCTGAGCGGCTACTGAAACTGACTCTTGGTAAAATTCCCTTGTTGGTTAATATTTTCAAATAATTTACAGGAGAATTTAGTTGAGAGCAAGCACCACAAACTTGCCCGAAGTTTAAGAAGTGGACCTTCTGACCACGATCTCAAACCCAATGCTGCCACGAGAGATCAATTAAATGTAAGGAACTTATAAAATATGAATATAAAAATAATTAAGTGAGTATTTTGGTTGCAACTGATGTGAGAGCACGTCACTTGAAAGTGATTCAGATGCACGTTTTTTTCCAGGTTAATGAGCCCCACGTGATTTCAACAATGTCGCATTTCTGTAGTTTTTTTTAATCATTTGGGGGCTTTCAGTAAATATATGAGCTCTGGAGACAGAGCTACAGATAGCATATGCTTTCTGGATCTCGTGTCCTTAGAAACTGGCCCTAAGGTACATTGCCTGAGAGGCCTTGTTGTATGTATTAAACTTGACAAGAGAAATGTTTATTATTATCTTTTCCCGTTTTTTGGGAGTGGGGTTGAGGGAGATGCTTTGTTATTTTAGTTTGTTGTGTTTTGGGTTGAAGTAAATTACCTGTAATTACGTACTTTTTTTAATATGGAGTGTGACTTCTTTATCTTTTTCTCCCTGTGACACTCTGATAATATCCTTTTTGAACTGATTACAGCAAATTTAAATCTTACTTGTCTGCATGTACGTTCTCCTTGCTTCTATAATACTTCAGTTATAGATATATTCAAATAAATGAAAAATTTTAAATAAATGAAAGTGAAAAGATGTTTTTTGATCAAAGTACTTCATTTTGTTTTCTTTGTTGTAGATTATTGTGAGTTATCCGCCAACCAAGCAGCTTACATACGAAGAACAAGATCTTGTATGGAAGTTTAGGTATTATCTTACAAATCAAGAAAAAGTGAGTGTCTTGAATATTTTCATATGTCAAATTTATCTACAAATTTTGTTGCTAATGAGCATAGTAAAGTAAAACTGCCATGGAAATAACGTATTTAATTTCAAATTTAAAAAAAAGGTATAGATATCTGTCTGTTACTCCATTTTAAAAAAATTTCGAAGGTGTACAGAAAAAGACATGTGTGCTAGCTTGTTGATACATAAACAATTTCTGAAGGTTAAGGCAACAGACTTGGGTTCTGTTTCTGGCACTGAACTTACTCTTACTGTGTAAGGGGAGGCAAATTGCTTTGGAAGCTTTGTTTCCTCATTTTTCTAACGATGACAGTCTTCCTTCACAGGTGGAAAAATAAAACGGGTGACTAACCTGGCAGAGTACTTGGTGCATAGTGGGTGCAGAGTAAATGTGAATTCATGTTAATCTTCATTCTTCTCACCTCTTTGAGCCTGGGGGGATTAGCAAAAGATTTACGTTATTAAAAGAACTGTAGAATTCTGGAGGAAATGTGGCTTGAGAGAGAGTGCGTGAAATGTAATTTGAAATGTTAATTGAGTTGGTGGAGTCCAGCTTGGTGTGCAGGAGAGAGGCGAGGTCAGAACTAGACATTTGCATTCCATAATGAAACTATGGAGTAGAGAACGTTTCTAGGGGAGAGAATTGTGATGAAGTACTTGGCATTAGACTTGAGTCTGGAGACTTACTGTTTATTTGGGCTTTTTTAATTG